AGATATTAAAACAAATAAATTTCACACCTACATATTTATATATGTTACGCTATAAGAAACAAGTTGCTTTCTGTTTACTTCTATCATCAAACTGACGGGTTTTGATACCATCTTAATATTGGCTCGAGTTTCTCTTCCATACGTCATCATGAACAACTTTCTGAAATTTATTTTACTTTAAAGTCTATTCGGTTGAGTATGATTTGTCTTTTCTTTGATTTGTAATGTATGATAAATCAAATGCATTTTCAAATAGGTCTAAGTTAATAGTCACAGCTTCAATGAACATACAGCAACTGTAATGATTGTTTTTGTCGCCCGTAATTATATAAAACAATGATAATTCAATAAGTAAATTTTTACGCCAATTCAAGCAGGATACCGAAATATCCATTTTTTTAAATTTTTGAAATTTGGTTAATTTTCATTTTCCCAAAAAGTACATGTTTCTGTAATTTTCTTGAAACAATTGAAGTATGATCAAAATGTCATAAAGTGCAAAAGCATTCTCATTTTCTGTTGAACAGCAGAAGGTAGCATGTATACAATAGAAACCTGTATATAATCTTTATCTACAACGTTGCCAACGGCAGATAATAAAAATTCCAATTAATTTTACAGAAAAAACAAATGCAGATTTTATATAAAACAAGGATTTTCTTTGTTGCATTTTCATTTCAATCCATCATCTTTATCGTGCATTTTCTATTTCACGCCACGTAGAAATGTTTTGCACGAGCAGCTGGCGTTCTCGGGCAAAATATTTGTTCGTTTGAAGACAATTCCTGCTTGCTATATACTCGTGCTGAAGCATTTACTGTGAGATGATAGATAGCAAGCATGTACCCTGTTATCATAACAGGTTTCTACTCTTCAGATTAAAGGTACAAAACGTTGTTATGAGGAAGTAATTGAAATTGTGAATGACGTCATTATTTCCATGACTACGCTAGTATACCTAGTCTAGACAAAAAGATAGAACGGGGTAACTGGGCCAACATCAGTGCTTGCCACTATCTACAATTGTCGTTTTTTCTGTTCTGCAATTTGCTAGCAGTCTACATAATCAACAAAAACCCTAATATTTATTTAGTTCATCAAAGATTATCTGGTGCACACACTGGAAATATGGAAAGACCTTGAAAGTCAGTGGTTTGTTATTCTTGATACAGGTACCTGGCACCGGCACATGTACCTGACAGGGATCATGTACTTACACGCTGGTTTTGATTCTATTGCGGTAAAATATTTTCAGAAATAATTCTTGATTGACGGTAAAACATATACTGACAAACTAGACTTGTTCAAAGAGTTTACTCCATATTATATTTATATTGTCAGACAACTAGTTCCAAGACAAACTTCAGTGAAATTATAAACCAATTATTTCTTTGATTATGTCTATGTTTTGTTATTTAACGTTAAAGTGTAACATTTCGCACTTCAGTAAGACAGTTGGGAAGTGTACAAGATGTGGATTATTACTGTAACAAGATTTTTCAGTATCTTTCTTGTTAGTTCACCTATGTAAATTGAAACAGAATCACTTCACCTTTTGCTACAAATAGAGAACTATATTTTCTCTGAATGTATATTACACATACTGATATGTTTTTATTAGCGTGGATTTATAGCATTACGAACTGGAGCCAGAACATAAATATGTTGCTATTTTAGGCTCAAAATTAAACAGACGCTTGTAAGTTTGTACAACGAGATGACCAGGCGGTAATGACTGACGTCAACAGGTAGATATGTTCAAGAGGTAATGATATAGATTGACCTTAGAAAATATTTGATCTGGATATCACTTCTCTGACTGACATAGTGTCTACCTTAGGACGTGTCCGATAAACTAGGATCTGTAGGATGTGGTCGTGAAGCATGAATGCCATCAAAGGATGTGGTCGTCAAAACAAGACTGTAATCTACAATGTATATATATTAGACAATGTGGTCGTTAAAACAAGAATGTCAGCTACAGTATGTGGTCGTTGAACAAAAATGTCATATATAAAATGTGGTCGTTACACAAAGAATGCCATACACAGTATGTGGTCCTAACGATAAGAATTCATCTGTAGTAAGTGGTCGTTGAAACAATGTCATATGCACTTTGTGGTCGTTGAAACAAGAATATATTTTACACTGTGTGGTCGATGAAATAAGAAAATCATATACAATATGTGGTCGTTGAAACAAGAATGTCATCAACAGTACGTGGTCGATGAAGTAAGAATGTCATATACTGTGTATGCTCGTTACAACACTAATGTCATACACAGTATATGTGGTCGTTACTACAAAAATGTCATATACAGTATGTGGTCGTTACAACAAGAATACCATACACCGTGTGGTCGTTATAGCAAGAATGCCATCAACAGCATGCGGTCGTTAAAAGGATACTTGCCACATTTGCTATTTTCTGTTCATTCACTTTAAGTTTTAAGATATATTTTATTACATTACTGCTGGGCTGTTTTTAGACCAGTCAATTCTATAAATTTTGTTTATTTTTTCTTAAATGAGCTGCCATGTATTACACATAGAAAATAAAAAGTACAACAATGATTTACAATAAATGGTTTCTCAATGAAACGTTAGAAAAAAGCATCAATTCAGGCAGTAGAAAGCTTTTTGTGCTCTTCTATATATCACGCAAACAGTAAGAGAAATTTTTACTGTGTTTGAATTATACGTGCAGTTTATGTTCGGGCTATTCAGCAGGTCGATGATGTAAGGTTTTTGCAGCATGAGGAATGCGGTTTATTGTTTTACAGTTACATTCTGTACGGAATTTTCATTGTCAGAGTGACCTGCTTATGCCAGATACACTGTAACGATGAAATATCGAGATACTTCTGAATTCAGTACAAGTTTTTATTTTCCTTCTCGTCTTAAACATTACCGTCTGTCAAAACATCATTTCTCATAAATATACATAATTACCGAAATTCGGTTACCGCTTTTTTTAAAACAGAAATTAATATATTAGACGTGTGTATGAAAACACACTCTCTCTCGTGACTGACTCATCTTGTCTAAATAACATTTCTTTGATTTACTTGAAACATAGATCTAACTCTTCAAGAAATGAAGTTTGCTTTTAAAGACTTTATAAAAAGTACCGTAAGTCCACTTGTATAATACAGAGTTTTTAATATAAACAATGTTTACTATTTCTAGTTTATATAATTGATAAAAGAGGCATTTTAAGAAAATGTGAACTCATTTCAAAATCATTTTCATTTTTCTTTTATTATTATTATTATTATTATTATCATTATTATTATTATTATTATTATTATTATTATTATTATTATTATTATAAATCTATCAGTTGTTGGGGCATCATTTTTGTTTAAGGATATACTATGCTCAAATTTGATATTAGACAATATTGATAATTGCTACACAGTCTCTTTATAATTCAAGGATGAGCATAGTATATCAAGATATATGACTTGCATTGTACTTTGATCTAAATCTGTCAACACTAATTAGAACGTTTCATATATAAATAATCATAATACACACAAGAAATAAGCAAACAGATGCAAACATTATATCTGTATTACATTCACTCTTCACTTACGTCACAAATGTATAGATCTCGATTAACGACGTGATTGGTTGGTATTCGGGGAATTCCTCGAAGATCTATTTATAATTAGAACAGCATTCCAGATATATAGAGCGGTATTCTAATGTAAATTGTAGATCTCAAGGTGGCTTACTGCCGTGAACCGGAGGGTAAACAACTTGTAGATCCTTCAACACAAACTCCTCACAGCGGTTACGTCACGCTTTGCTACTTTAACCACTGCCACCACTGAAATCACGTGATGATAGTTGTATCATGTGACAAAAACATGGCGGCCAGTTTCAGAACGCCAAGGATCCCATATCAAACTGGCAGATTTATAATTACATCCTTACCAGACAAAATAAGTTCAATACACACAATTTGTTATCACTTTAAAGCAAGTGCCGGATCAAATCTTTTTGTGCAATCGTTCAATAACTGTTTATATTCTGCCATTGTTTACTGGTTGTTACTATGCATACGGTGTCACAGTGAAAATATCTTTCGTTATGTTTACAAAATAATTTTTATACGTATAATTCTTTACTTTCTTGTACATTAAGCATAACTATTTAACGAAAGAAAACTAAAATGATATAAAGTATTCTATTTTAAAGTTAAAAGTGAAAAAAATATATCCGGCTATATTCGACCGAATTTACTTGTGGTGGCAGTGGTTACTGTACAGATCAGGGGAAGTAACCGCTGCGAGGAGTTTGCCTTCAACAGTGTATAGTCCTAATAAGGGAAACAACTCTTATGGGCATACAACATTATTTAAAGTCAAACTAATAACTGTATATGCTGCGAAGAGAAAAAAAATTGAAACTACAATTGTTTAAATAAAGATATTCTGTACAGATACAATATTGGTAGCAGTTTAATAGGTTAAGATACATTTGTACTTAATAAATGTAACGTATAGACATTTTAAAGTAAAAAAAAATGTTCTCGAAATTTGATAACCCAGGATGTTATTATAACTTCATGAAGAACATAATCAGCCGGCACATGAATGATTTTGTCCAGATTAAAAGATGAGCAGATCTAATGGAGGTATTAAGCGAAAATGTATAACGGCTGTGAACTTATTAAAAATATTGCGATGACAAACTGGCCATAGAAAAGAAAAAAGAATCAAGCAAACAGAAACAGCATTAATTTTATAAATGAATATGTGTGACATTTTTTTTTTCACAAAATATCTTCATCGTACATTAAAAGTTAAAAAAGTAAACGTGGGGTATTTACTGATATACGTACAGTAAGAAGAATGCAGATGACCTACATTAAATAACCATATTAAGATAAATATAGCCTGCGGTGTATAAATACAGCGTTACACGTGACTAACAAACTCCGCCCCCTGTCACATTGTCAACCACTCGTGTCGCGAATTTATGGATGGCCAAAACTCGGTCGAAACTGTGTATAGCAGTGGTTTAATAGGTTTTCATGCTATTTTTCCGTATTTGCTTATTTGGGCAGTTTAAACGTGTCTGTCATTGACAGCAAAGCAGGATTAACATGCGAAAAATTAAATGCTTTAATCCAGCAAAAAATGTACATGGATAAATTAATATAGATTCATTTTTAACGTTTACCCCAAAGGATTATTTAGATATCAGGAAATACATTATTTTTAATAGAATCAGTGATTTAAATCGAGTCATTTAAATACAATATCATCTCTTGGATTTACGTACAATATTTTAATCGCTAAATTGTGATAAACCCCATTGTTAGGGCGAGATAAAAGTTGTAAATAGTCGGAATAATCTTGTTTACAGAAAGTGTATTAAAGCTAATAAATTCGTTTGTAAAATAAAAAAAAACCTGAACAAGAAACGATAGATAGGGACATAAATAAAGTATACAAAATATTTAATTAAATTGAATTGATTCAGTGTTCAAGACTGGAATATTTATTCTAATGCAATCAATGTATATAACCGGACCCCTGTTAGTGAAACGCCGATGTCAGATATGACAGTGCACGGCGATAGGCCTCATTGCTCGGACCGGGCAGGCCGCAGGGGCCTCACACCTCTCGTTAACGGAGAGCGTGAATTGCACGAACGTCGTGGGAACATGTTGATAAACGGGGTACGAGATTTGCACGGAGTTCGTGGGCCCCTTCTTGTAAATGGAGAGCAAAAACTTGAAGGCCCCACTCTTGAAAATCTTACTCTCAGTCAGTCATGGAACGGTTGCATATGGCAAATTCAGCCTACTTCTCCAGACAATAATAAGGTATCACCTGGAAGTAATGCACTGTTACATACATTCCCTATGTCCGGTAAGGTTAGAGACAATGCATTCATTCGTAGGGACTCATTGTTGTCAAAATCACGTGACTCACCTCCAATCTCTGTTGGAAGTGTAGAAAGACCAAGTAGTGTTGATAGACTAAGTAATGACAGATTGAGCACTGATAGAATCAGCACAGACAGGCTGAGTACAGACAGGCTCAGTGGTGACAGACTATCAAATGGTAGTGAAAGGAATAGATTCGCGACAAGTTATGACGACGATAGTCTTACGACGGCCAGTTCAAACTTTGACAGTTCCGAACAGGAGGAAGAGTATGTGACTTTAGACAGGAGCTATGTGTTCCCAAGATCGTTCAGAAACCAACCTCTGTCGCATCACTCCTCTATGATAGACTTAAAGCATAATTCTCTGTATTCACCGAAAATAAATAACAACGAAATCGCAAGCCAAAGTGCCAGTACTAGAACCATACCTCACCGGAAGTTCAGGGGAACGCTCAGGAGTGTTTCCGTTAACGAGACAGACCTTGACTCTGTCGATGTTGATGGAAAATCTATACCATGGGCTAAACGAAGCCTAAAACGAATTTATGAAAACATTGGTGAAGCATTAAATAAAAAACATAACAATGTCAAATCTTCATCTGAAGATAAAATATCAATTCAAAGCGGGTATGTAGGAATTAGAAACGACCTTAGTTCAAGTGAATCAAATAGTGTAAATACTGAACCCATTCCTGATTCAGAGCAAATACAAAATCCAGGAAAATTTAGAAAACGTAGTAAGTCTCTAGGAGAACTTAGACTTTTTGGTGAAGAAAATGAAAACGAACTTGATACAGACACTAGTGACGTGGACGGGGACGATTTTGGATTTTTATCACATCCTTTTATTCATTCTACTCCAGCTATGCAAAAGTCGAAATCTCCCTCTGTCCATCATAGAATACTGCCGAAAAGATGGAGAAGTAAACCTCGAACATCCACGGCCGGCCAGTGTCTCTGGAGTCCAGAGGTAAGTGTGTCCACGTGCTTCACGTGTGATATAATCATGTACTGCATAGTGTATAAGTAGAGATTTTGATATCTTAGGGCAGTGAAATTTGCATATTTAGTCAAAGTACGTAAAAACGCTGACAAAGTTAAGTTTTGTCAAAAAGTTATTTGATACTTTCCTGTGGAATTAATATCATAATGATAGTAGCTTTTCATATAATAATATGCTGTAATATAATTGAATATGATATATATAACATAAAGGAAACTCTGCACAATGTTTGCATCTATCCCGTCAAGATCATGTATCTTTTATTTGAATTGATAATGCTACCGGTAATATAAGTAAAGTTTTCATTTTGGTCAAGGAAAGGAAACAGCGACAGACGATGATTTACGATAAAGTCTTAATTTGAGCCGTGTCACGACAAAACCAACATAATGGGTTTGCGACCAGCATGGATCCAGACCAGCCTGCGCATCCGCGCAGTCTGCTCAGGATCCATGCTGTTCGCTTACAAACCCTATTACAAGTAGAGAAACTGATAGCGAACAGCATGGATCCTGATCAGACTGCGTGGATGTGCAGGCTGGTCTGGATCCATGCTGGTCGCAAACCCATTATGTTGGTTTTGTCGTGACGCGGCTCATTTATGACAGTGTCAGACCACTCAAACATTTCATACTAAATTTACATCATTAAATACAATACCCACCTAACTTGTATTTTCTAAAATTGTTGCAAAATGTCAAAATTAAGTTTTATTTGAGACATTATTTCCTACTGTCTTTTGTTGAACAAAACCTTAAAATTCAGTTCCGGTGTTAATTAGCGTCAACGGGTGTAAAGTTACGTCTGGGACTTTGTTAGTATAACATAAAAAATCTAATATGGAATATATTTATATAGTTTATTACTTATATATTCTTAACAGAGGGTTTCATCTTCACTTAGCATAACACTTAATTTTACCTATCACATCCTGATATTTCAAGCTAACACCCTCTATGATATACTGAATACATCATATAGGAAAGAATCATGAGATATCTGTATTGTAATAAAACTTTCTTGTAATAAAACGACATATTATATAACTTCAGAATTTCACAATGAAATACGTGCATATCTTTGGGTCAGTTATAAAACACATTACTGTCATCTTGCACATAAGGAAATAAAACGTAAATGCAAAACAGTTGTAAAACATGCACGTTTAGTACTAACACTTACAGTATATTCGCATGCAATTTTACTGCATTTCTGAAATAGAATTTGTAAAATTATACTTCCATAGCATTTGACAAATTAGACGCCTTGTGGTTGTATTTAGCGCCCATAAAATTAAGAAAATTATTGTGTCTTCTTTTTTTCTTTCACTTGAACATTTATGTTAACACACACCCTTGCTAATTATAATAATATTCCAGATCTTCTACAAGATTGTATTATAATTTCACAGGTTTTATTGTATATGTCACTGTGGTGATTCAAGTTATGATCTTCATTTAGTTTAAATATGCAATTTACGTGTGCATCTAACTTTATTTTGTCTGAAAAAATAACCTGTGTTCTGCAGTATATTTTTTTTTCTATTCTGTATTACAAATAAAATGAGAAACAGTCTGCCATAAAATGCGCATTTCTTGTCTAATTTGGACAGAAAATATGACTGATGTAGAGAGACCACTCGGTGTTGGTATCAAAATATCACCTCCTGATCATAAACAATTGACTTGGCCTGTTAAAGCATATAAACAATGGCTTTTATTCACTATAAAACATCTTTCCGGAGGCACAGTTGTACATACTTTCTTTATGAATTAGATATTTGGAAATCAAACAGAAGATACATATTTGTTGATATCATTGACAAATCTGGTCGTTCAAAACCTTTTCACCGATTTATTTGACCGCTTAATACCTCTATAATTTATCCTGCAGCTAACAAGTTTGGAAATAAACCAAATTTGTGAAAAATAAGCCTATCCCTAAGAGTAAACTATCGTGTTATCGTAGTACTAATTCAGTTACGATTTACCTCGAGCTAAAACCCGCTGAAGACTCGACACACACCAAATCCGACGGTATAAAACTTAATAGATAGTACATTTTTCTTACACTTGTATGTTTTTTACGACCTATTAATGAATCAAAGTCAAAAAGTTCAGCAGTGAGTCACTTCAAATCAGAATATACAAATGAATACACATGTAAATTTGACATATAGTTGATCTTACGCACGCCGGTGATACACAACACCGTGCCTTAGGGTTTGGCCATATATCATTTAACCTTGCAAAGGACAGCTGCTCCGTCCTCTGGTGACCCCACATTTAACATCGTATTTGACACATTTGGTATTCACTTTTAACTTGCACTTGTCAACAGCGCCGCTTCTCCCGGGAGGCATTGCCATGTTCTGTTTGAACTTTGTTGTCATGCCGCCGCAACATATGAATGTCATGCTCGTGGAAAAATAGCGGCAGAGGATACAATTTTTATATATTTTTAAGAGCAAAAACAGTCTGGGGCATGAGCTTCCGAACACATTAAGTTTACCTGACCTTATAAAATCATCCTGGTACCATAAGTTCACAATCAGCAAAAATACATTATGTCATTAATATATGAATGAATTACTGCATACATCAATTATTACATACTGCGCTGACAGGAGACTCTTGCCATGCTTATTAAACTATAATTAAAATAGGCAAGGTATTTAACACCTACCAAATATCTCGTTATATATGCATAAGACAGCAACAATATCCATAGGTAACAATGAAGGCTGTACTATAACGAACGCTACAGTAATGCTAAATTGTTGTCCTTACAGAAATTTCAGATACATTGATTTCTTAATGGAAAACTAATTTCCTGAAGGTGGCAAGATTATATTGACATAACTACAATGTAATATAGACAAATTAACTTTCCATATTGACCAGTAGCTTTTTGTACTGTCGCTATTCCTGTTACATTGTTTACATTCCTGTGTGTTGTTCAGTAAAAACTTCACAAATAGCTTCAAACTATGGCAATTATCAAAAAAAGGTTTTTCAGAAAATGAAATCTTTATTTGATATCTAGTAACAGTATTTCTGTTTCTAAACACGGCGATTTGTTTAATGTTTGGAGTCTCTATATTTACCTTTTAAGGTTAGAAGTTTACAGTTTTCAAAACTATTTCAGTAAATAAAGGTAAACATCTAAAACTCGTCATACAAAGGCTAACGGAACAGAACAACGTTTGAAGGGCATAATTGCAGTGGTTAAACTTTTATGTATACTAGAGAGTTGACAAATTTATCTATTACAGTTTGTACAGATACTCTGTGTAAATATTTGCGATAAAAATACGAAACTATAATGCCAGCTTACACTCTTAAGTAAACTGTAAACGGTGAAAGCATAAAGGATGTAACGTCCAGATTTTAGCATACAGTTACTCCAATCTTTAGGTAAATTTAACGCAGCCAAATGTCATTCTGTAATACGTATAGTTATATACCGCCTCTTCCGGGCTCTATCAAGTCAAGATGGATAAGTTTGTTTGTTCTTTGTCATTTGTCATCTATTCTAACGTATTCATGGTGTTTAACAGTGAGTCCTTACCATTCATTGCTAACATATCACATTTCAGTGTCATACACATCAACATTCCGGTCATTCTGACCCAGCACTTGTAAGTTTTCTTGACATATTCATGGAGGTTTCGTGCAAGAATTATTACCAACACCGACGGGAAATGGCGTGCTACGAATAGTGACAGAGACATTGTTCTCTCAAATATTCTTTATTGCTTATTTCATTCTAATGAAATCGAAACATGTAGAAAAGTTCAATTGAACACAAGTAGTTTGTATTTGCTATCCGGTTGTTGTATCACTATCTCCGTAAAAACTGATTGTGTATTTAAACTTTAATTTATTTGTAACAGCAATGTTTTCAATGATTTAAACAATATATAACTCTCGTATCAAACTTCACAGGAAATCTTTCAAGCTAAATATACTGATGATTGCTTATATTTGTATAAATCTTGTTGACATAGTAAGATTATCACGGTTACTACATGCACAGTGTCCCTATATAAGGGTAACCGACAACAGAAGTGTATGTTTTAGACCAATTTACACTTAAGATATGACGTTATAGATAACATGAATACAAGAAGGCAGGAAATGACCTCTTTGCTGTGAAAACATTTATAGTACCGCGGCGATAAACCATGTTTGTATTCATAGATTGTATAAAGCATACCCCCATTGATTGACCATTTGTTTGCACTAGATTTTCCCACATCAACTCCACATTTACTATAGTTCGGCGACCGACGTTGCCGCCTTGTCACGGAGTAACGTTATTTCTTTCAAATATCAAAATGTACATCTTGTATGCTTGTTCGATACATAGACTACATCTCTGATCATTGCGACAATGTCAGAGAAAAGTGTGATATCTATATGATGACAGTATACATGCTATACAATGCTGCCGTAGATTAGCTCAAGTTACCCTTGATCTCTGTTTAAATGCTTAAATCCTTCTTATCCTGGTCATTTAAGATAACATAATCAGATAGGTTTGCAAGTGTAAGCTGCAAATTGACCTATTACTTATTATAGTTCAAGTCTGTATGCAACCATCTAAACGTCCTCCACTCATACAACGGCGAACATTTATAATATATAGTAGTGATTGAGTGGCATCTTAGTTGGACGTAACATCTACATCATAATTATATATTGCATTTATTGTTAGTTAAATAAAGTATGTAGTGAAATAAAAGGCGTTTTACTTCACTCCTTCTTTAGATAAAGTAAAATAAATTGTCAGTCTCAGCATGAACAAATAAAACTTAAATTACAACTAATCCTTGTGTTATCCTGACGGAGGTGTACACCCTTGTGTTAGGGGATAATGGTATAATCTACCTAACAAACATCAAACGAATGTCCTTATATTGCCCGTCAAGAGAACATGCCTTTTTTCAGGTTTGCCTGTGCTAA